GTCCAAACCCAGGGTGGGTTCTTCCGGAGGAGGGTGGAGGTAAGGACGTAGGAATACCTAGCGTATCCCCGGATGAAGTTACTATAGTAGCTGGTCAGGCCTAGGAAGCTGTGAAGCTGCTTGGCGGATGTGGGGGCGGGCCACTCCGCAATAGCAGTGATCTTCGCGTCGTCCATGTGGAGACCCTGGTCTGACACGTAGTGTCCTAAGAAATCCACTTTGTGCTGGGCAAAGCGGCACTTGCTCAGCTTGGCGTAGAAGCCATGTCTGCGCAAGCGGTCAAGGACGTCGCGGAGGTGTCTGAGGTGCTCCTCAAGGGTACGACTGTAGACCAGGATATCGTCGAGGTAGATGAGAACGTACTGTTCCAGGATGTCCCTCAAGATGTCGTTCATCGCCCTCTGAAAGGTAGCGGGTTCATTGGTGAGGCCGAATGGCATCACCGTAAACTCGTAGTGGCCGAAGCGCGATCGGAACGCTGTCTTCGGCTGGTCGGCTGCAGCGACGCGGATCTGATGGTAACCTCTACGAAGATCAATCTTCGTAAAGAAGCGGTTGCCTGCTAGGCGGTCGAACAGCTCATCGGAACGAGGCATGGGGTAGCTGTTCTTAACCGTGTAGCGGTTGAGACCGCGATAGTCGATGCAAAGATGGAGAGTTCCGTCCGCTTTGCGAGCAAAGAGGACGGGTGCACCCCACGGGGAGTTGCTGCGTTTAATGAAACCCAGTCTCAAGAGCTCCTCAAGCTGACGCTTGAGTTCGGTGGCCTTGGGGATCGAGAGTCTGTAGGGTGCCTGGCGGTGAACACGATAGTCAGGCACAAGCTGAATTGAGTGCTCGACGTCACGCATCGGTGGGATGCCGGCGTACGAGAACGATGATGGGAAAACGCCGTGGTACTCTCGGATGAGGTCACGAACTGCGGGCTCCAAGTCAGCCGTATATCGTGCGAGTTCCTCAGCGTCAGCGTCAGCGCGCGACGACGGGGTGGACTCGACGGACGGTGGAGGGACGGAAGTAGAGATGGGAGCCATGGAGATAGAGGGAGGATCTGGCTCCAGAGGGATGAGCTCGGCGTCGGGACAGGGTGGATCATAGTGTAAGAGATCCGTCACGTCCACCATAAAGAAGGTGACGTCGTCCTGTCGAATGAAGTGAGCGAACTGCCGAGGCAAGGTGACAATGATAGAGGGAGATGGTGTGGGCATTGAAGGCTCCAGGGGAGGAGGATCGGGGCGTGGTGTCGCCGTGGTACCTATGAAAGGTACGCGAGACGTCTGTCCACACTTCGTTTTGAGAACGAGAGTGTTGGTCGCCCAATCGGTCTCGGTGCTGCGGAACCGACGAGACCACGAAGTGCCGAGAATGAAGTCGAACCCCGTCTCCATCACATCGTAATGTGCAGAGGAGCGGTGGCGACGAGACGCCGGGGAACGATCAGTATGCTCGAGAGTGAGGAAGAAGGGGAGGTCGGTGACCGTCTGATCGAAGAAGCGCTGGGTCTTGTCATCCCCTAGGGTAACGAAGATGGGAGTCGGAGACCCTCTCGTGGGTAATCGGGCTTCCTTCACCACGCGTGGGTGAATGAAGTCGCTCTGAGAACCGGAATCCCACAGCGCTGAGTACACCCTCGTGGAGGTCACGAGTCGTACGGGATGATCGGGAGGGTGCGATCATGGTCAGAGAGGATGGCGAGAAGGCGACGCAGTGCAGCGACATGGAGGGTGAGTCGCTCCTGACGAGCCTAGAGCATGCTCAAGTCCAGAAGAGAGGACACAACGTCCTCGCGAGTAGCAAGGTGCTCGCTGCAACGGGCTGAGCGAATGGCTCGATGCGTCAGTAGTCGCGGCGGGGAAGGAGGGGAGACGGTGGTCTGCGGAGGCGCAGACTGTACTGCGACAGAGGGCTGAGTACACTCTGTCGAGTCCTGCGGTACCTCAACTCCAGTAGCGAGAGGGGCGAACCGCGACGGAGATGTCGGGAAGCCCACTACTGAGGAGGGCGCAGGTGTACACTGCACCGTGGCTAGGAGGCGCCGCGGGGACGTGAGGCGCCGAGGGGGGACTGAGCACGACGCTGACGAGAAAGGTCAGCGTAGTGGCGGTCGAGGGCGGTAGTGTAAGGGCACCGCGAGGAGGTATGACCGTCCAAGCGGCAGCGCAAACACCCACGCCGGCCCAGAATAGCCGCGCGCTCCTCAGGGGAAAGGACACCATGAGGAGGGACGAAGCCCTGAGGGAGGTCCTCCTGCGGGACCTCGGGGGGCGACGTGCCAGCGTGACCGGGGCGGCTGCGTGCCCGAGAGAGGGCGGAGAGCGCGAGCTGAAGGCGCT